ATGTGAGGAAAGGAAAATTAAGAATTATATTTTAGGACCAGGAAAGGAAACTGAGTAAGAAGAAAAGAGGAAGTACTGTATTTACCTAAATATAGGCAAGGCTTTTCCCCCCAAACCCTCATCTTACATTTGCATACAAGGAAACCTCATTAAATACATCAGCTATCAGTAAGCCACTGCCAAAAGAATTATGTGCTCAGTAATGGAAACCAACTATGAAGTTGATTAAATGCAACCAGCACTGAACATGACTTTAAAACATAGGGCCCATATTGGGCAAACTTTTTTGGGAAAATTTTTCTTGTGTCAGGTCAAATTAGCTAAATCAGTTCCAAATCCTATTGATAGAGCAAAACTCAATTGCTCAAAAAACCATATGTGGTGCTATAACCCACAACTAATCTCCACCCCAGGCTTTTCAGACTGGGGTTTCAGATACACCCAAATGCATGTGGCAGGCATCCTACATGCAGGCCCAAACCCGGAGGTCTTGGGGTTTGACAACCTGTCAAGTAACCACTGCGGTTCACTTGGCAGATCAAAATATACTTTGCCAGTTAAACTGTTGTAGTCCCGTTACACAGTTCACACTGTACCTTTTTTTTAACTAAATTTTTCATGTTCCTAGCCAAATCAGCCAAATGAAGTCCAAATCCATGAGTCAGCCCAAAACTGTAAGTGGCCCTACAACTGGCAAAAATCCTCCACTCCCACCAGGGGCTTCAGATATTTCCAAAGTTTTGTGGCAGGCATCCTACATGCAGGCCCAAACGTGGAGGCTTGGGGCTTAGATGCCCCTATGTCTTGCCTACCCTCAGCCATGTGGCTGGAGAAGCAAGCTAGGGAGGAACCTCCCATTTCCACAGAATAGGCTTTAAGCCCCACAACCTCAACAAGTACTAAACCATACCAGAAGAACAGGTAACCCTGCAAATGGTTAAGGGAAACTGCTTTCATGGACCCACATACCCGGTGTTTTCCCTGCCAGGTAAGTATACCTAACACAGGAATAGATGGCTAGAACTCATCTGAATACAATACACATGAATACCCATTGTGCTCAGTCCCACTCAGCCTTGACACTTTTTAAGTCATGGTGAGCTGGTACACTGAATACATTTCAACTTCCTCTTCATTCTCACAACTGAGTTCTGCCTTTCTTTCCCATTTTCAGTGATTGCTATTTCTTCACCAGCCTTAAATACCTGCCAAACATCATCAAATAGGGCCCCAAACACTTCACACAGAATTCCTCTCTCTCCCCCTGTCACATATGATTAGTGTGGCCCCACCTTCCATGAGGTGGAGCCAGACAAGTTTTCCCTGCACTTTAATCTGCATATAAAGTTTTGGAAGATCCCAAGACTCATGGCAAGAATACCTGGTTCCAGTCATGAAGGTGGGGGACTAATTAGCACATGGTTAGTTTGTGGGGGGTATCTGGAGTACACATACATACTGAGCAGTGCTGCAGAGGGGTCACGATGGCTTGAAATGCTGTCGACTCTGCTGGGGGCCCAGAAAAATGAGCTATATGGTAAGTCATGAGCTTTTTGGCTTTCAGCTAGGTAACAAAGCATTGTTTAAAAGCATGTTTATGAAGTACCTGCACTGAAACTTGCAGCAGTTTCAAAAAAGGTAGCATCAACTCTGGATGAACTAAGTCTGTGGGTATCCATAGTACTTTGCTTATATGCTAATTACTATAGTATACTATGCTTAGGTGGGTATGTCTACAGACTTTGAAGTAAGTCTACTGTATTGTATTAAGACAATACAATAAATTGCAGCACATACTGTGCCAGAGTTTATTGCTCCCAGGAGCCATGTTTGCATGTGTGCCTGAGACTGCGGCATGTTGAGCTGGGATGGAGCAGTCCCAACTAGCAGGAAGTCTGGGGGGTCAGCCTGCCAGCCTGGGGGTGCTCTGACCTGGTTCGACATGTTGTGGAGGGGATGACTGGGGCATGAGGATGCTCCACTGCAGGACTAGCTCCTACAGTGGAATTAATCAGTTTACTGTGGCCTACTAAAGCCACATGTGTAGACAGTGAGATGTTTACTACGGAGCTAATTAGTCAGCTCCACTGTAAACATCTCATGTACACGTGTCCAGTGTTTTCAAATTTGTCCCTCACTTCCATATGCTCAAGGAGAGCAGGGTCTAAGGAGGAAGGAGGTAGGAAGTGGAAGGGGCTACAGGGGGAATAAATTGTGTGGGAGAGATGGCAAAGGGGCCACTTGACCCCCCTAAATTTATTTTCCCTGCTTTAACTGTAGGAGGGGGACAAATTCAAGGCAAACTGCCAATAATTAGATTCTATCTCCAAAAACTTGTAACAAATATATATGTTTTCCATATACAGCAACTAATTTTGGGATGTTGTCTTATATTTGAGTAAAAATGGTACATCACAGAGGAATGAAAAGGAGGCATATGGAAGGCTGCATGGAGGTGTATGGAAGGAGGAGGTGGAGGTGGGGACCTGTTAGAAAATCATACAGCCAAATGAAGAAAGAGAAGGTCAGTTGTAGGATAACAGTGGAATAGGAGAAAGATGGTCTTTTAAATATGTACATATGTTTTCTGAGAGGCATGTGAACTTACTGACAAATACATAGGTAGTACGTGGATTGGTAAGCAAAATGAAATGATGTACTAAGTAGAATTTAAAGCAAACCATACCTCATGATCTTTGGGGATGTTTCTATAAATAATTCATGACCTAGCTTTTCAATATGATTCTAAAAAAGAATATAGGACAGGAAAGGATCTCCTGGGCTGTTTAACCCAATCTTCTGCTATCCCTAGCAACCACATCATAAACTACATTTCCATAAAGCTAGATTTGCTCCTTTCAGAGCTCTGCTGACTTACAGTCTCCATACAAATTTGACCAACAGATCTACAGGTGTTGTAGCGGTGTGGACATACACCTGTTTCAGTCAATGATATCAATTGAGCAGCAGTGGGAGCTATTTTTAGGTCCCCAAATTGGGTAAAAACTCCTCCCCCCTCCATGCTCAGTGGCACGTCCCCCCCTTCCCTGTCCTCCTCCCTTCCCCATCTACTGCTGTGCCTGGAGCCAGAAGACAGCTCCAAAGCCTCTCCTTTATGCTCCAGCTGGGCTTCATGGGGAGCTGGGTTCAGAGGCAGTGACAGGCAGTTTTCCCTTTTTTTTTTTTTGCTTGGTTCCCCCCTACCAGCCCAGAAGCAGCCACAGGGGAAAGGAACCCACCCACTGATACCCCCATTAGTGCTGTCTGTGGCTGAGACTGACTCCACATATGATCTGAATACAACAGAACAGGAGCATCTCTGCAGCCTCCCCTCAATCCTTTCAGTCACTTGGGGATCGTGGCAATGGCAGGTGGGGAAGAGTGGAGACTGGGAGGGGAGGGGGCATGCTGATGTATGTGTAGAGGAAAGGAAGGGAGAGGGAAGATGGTTACCTGATTGAGGGACTTAAAAAAAATCTCAGCTTCTCTGGTGTGGTCTGCCTGCCTCAGGGGGAAGCTGAAAATAGGGGATACAGCCACCCCTGCAGTACTTGTTGTTGCTCTCACATCTCTTTTACAAAATCCTGGATCAACCAGGACAATAACCATCTATTTTCCTACATTTATTAGTCTGATATGCTCCTTTTTCTCTAGAAGAAAAGTTTAAAACATTACTAAAAACTCCAAAATTGGAATTGCCCATTTTTTTTTCTCTTGGAAATAAGTGTTAATAACCCAGAAAGTATCAAGTATCAAGTGTTACACACAGTACACCTCAGACCATATCTCATGTTTCAGCTGTTCAGACTCCCCAATTTTTGTATTAGAAGAGCATCATCCCTTGGTTCTTTTCAGTATCTTGTGCATTATTGTTAGATGTCAAGATACTAGAACAATCAAAGGGTGTGTTTATGCTGTGTCCCTGGTATTTTGCTGACTGAAGCATTTAAGAAGCATGTTTCTGCTCCACATAGTCCACATATACCAGAAATTACATGGTGAACCTTCTCCAGGGGTCCCTTCCACTGCCACACTTGAGATCCATATCTTGCAGGTTTGAAAGGGGTGGCGAGGAGTGCCCTCAGGGCACTTTGACAAGTTCATTTCCATGTTTGGCACATGCAGAGTCAAAACAGCTGGAACTCCCGGCAAATGTTACATTTGTTGCAAGTTAGATGTAGGTATCCCACAATAAATCATAACATGTGAATCAGTTTATTCCTGGAAAAAAATGATGGATCAACCACAAAGAAGTTGCTCATCGACACAGCAGCATTTCCGTAGTACAGGAATATCCTACAATTTTAACGTGTTGGAATTTATGATGTATCACACCATACTCGCATATAACATGCTTCCAGGGGTCTCAGTGGTAGTCTCTGAGGAAGCAGTACAGACATACCCATACCTGGTTTCTGCACCTTTGTTTTCTTTGAGAAGTACTTTTCCCACAGACAACTCGAAGTACTTCAATGGAGCTACTTTAATGGCATGAGAAAGGGTGGCAGGATCACTCCAAACCCCCCTGGCAGGAATCACACTTAAGACATGATTGACCAGTTAATCATGCTCTTAAGTAAGTGATGCTGATACAATGTTATCCTCTTTTCTATTTCCAGCCACTCTGAAGAGCATGATCATCATTTGTACAAGCAAACTCACTTACTTCAAGAAGACTTCCAGAATAAGTAGAAGATACAGGATTAGGGTTAAGAAGTACTGCCAGTCTTGATTTGGAGAGGAGTCATGAAGGTCTGGAAGAGCCAGGTGTGGAGACACCCCGGGTAGGTAAGATCACTTTTCTCTATGCCCCTACCCAAGGGGCTCAGGGGAGTTTTGCCAAGGACACAACTCAACCTAGGTTGAGAAGCACTGCAGGTTCACAAAGCACTGAGCAATATTATAACAAGGAATGCAATCTCTTGGATTGTATGCTGTTTAAGACGAGGATGTTTTTATTCACAGTAAAACATTGTTAAAAGAGAAAAAAAAGCTTTTACCCTGCTTCTTGCTGGTCAACCCCAGAGTGTTCTAGTTCTGTGCCTGGGAGGGGTTGCACTGGAGGGGGTGGGAGGGGGACGTTGGCCCAGTTCGAACCATTATTTTTCTGGGGTTTGGAAGCATTTTTATTTTTCTTCTTTTTCCCTCCTTTGCCACCTGAAAATTAAAAAAAAGTTTTATTGAAAAAGGTTGGCGATTTATATATCTTTGAAAGAATTCTGATTCCAGATGGCATACTCAAAAAAAAGATGTATTTATATCTTAGCAGCATCAGCATCAACATATTAAAGTTGTTACAAGGTTATAAATAATAATAGGCTGCAGCAGGAAAATATTCTGCATAACTGCTGAAAATTACTTCTTTTTAAAACATAAGCCCCACACAGCCTCATCACAATAGTGCATAAGCTGAATAAAGTAAAAACACACTTTGCTGTATCAAAAATATATATTTATTGATTTATTCATGTCTGCTCCAAGCCTCCATGCAATTCATTGTTAGAAAAAAATAATAGACCATAGCAAATTCTTTCAAATGTCAGATTTCAGTGTATTTATAATACCATTTTGCATAATCTCTTTCTGTGGGAAACAGAGAGGTTAAGGACACAACCTTCAACTTTGTCATTAGAGTCATTTTTTTTTTCAGGCAGAATGACAAGCATAGTTGTCAAAATGAAAAGGTAAAAGTAACTGCATTTTTCCTGAAATGGTATTAATAAGTTCAATTAAAAATCAGTACCAATAAGCTTTTCACAATGCCTTAGGACAGCATGATTTACAGGGTTTGCTTTGCAGAAAGCATTCACTATCCTGTGAACCCAGTGGATAACGGGTAGTACAACTATTGCAACTGGAAGAGATGGGTGCAAACAAAACAATATACTTTCCTTTTGCTTTCCCCTCTTCCTTTCTTCCTTTTACCTTTGCATTGTGAACTGAACAGGAATGCATTGCATTTCAAAGTTTGTCTTAGTCTATGCCTTTCATGCAGTTGGTCCAATAAAATATATCACCCACAAAAGTCTTTGCCTCTTGCATACCCTCTCATGTAGTTGTTTTCAACTGTGGTGCCATGAGCTCCTTCCAGGGCTGCCATGATGGGGGTGGTATTGCAGCCAGGGTGATATCCCCTGCATGCCTCCTGCAGAGGCAGATCAGGAAATAGCTGCAGCTAGAGCCCACACTCTTCCTGCAGCCCTTCTCAGTCTGACCTCATATGTTTCTCCTGAACACAGAGATGCAATGGGCAGGTGGGACTGTCCCATACTTCTCTGATTCAGGGAGGAGTATGTGGAGTTGGGCTGGGAAGTCCTGCAGGAAGAGCTTGGGCTCCACTCATGGTCCCTCACACTGCCCATCTGCAGCATTATGACTGAGCTGTGCAGCAGCTGTTTGTACTGGTCCTCCAGGAGGAGGCAGACTGGGCTGGAGCAGCCCTTTACACTGATCAGGCAGCGGAGTTGGGATGGGCTGAACAGACATCCCTTTTTCAGTGTGGATTTGTCAGAAGTGATATTTCTCTGGTCTTTTGGGTGAGCATCATCAGCAGCACTGCAGAGGAAAATAATAGTTCTTATGCACCTGGGAGAGCAACAAAATTTGTTGGTGCTTTGATTAACCCAACCAGAAGTTGGATCAGAAGTAGTACTCTAAAATTCTCTTTGACATATCACCAATTACATGTTATTCCTAAACCTGGAACCATCTGCGGATGATGCAGGGGTTAAACACTATCTCAGTGTCAGTTTGACAATGGAAATGAAATATTGTTGTAATGGGGGAGTGCTTCAGGGAACAGGCAACAGCAACCTTCATGGATATTAATAATGCAGTGGACACACATTATTTTTCCCTTATTAGCAGAACTGAGGACAAGCTCTAACCTCAGGCAAGAAGGCGGCATCCACTGACCACTGACAACTAAGAGATATGCTTTTGCACCTTTTTGGATATTTCCAGTTCACTAGAATTAACTAGCTTTACTCATGCAAGGCAAGTTCTGACCTGTGCCTAATGCCGTACCATAAGCCTAAATCCACCTGGGAAACTAGGTATTACAGAAGCTGTGAGATCCTGAGAAAAACTCAGAAGGTTCAACTGGAACAATTAAGTCAAGGTGATTCCAGTAGTAAATCGGTACAAATGTTCACTTGGGTTGTGAAGGAAATTAAGAGCCTAATTATTCGCATATTAATTTTTTCCTTGATACTAACTGGACCAACTCAAATAAGCTCATATTTGGGATACAGCATCATCTACAGATAAGACCTTATTCTAAAAGGACAATATAATTCATCCTGAACTACCTAGTTTCATGCTGAAATGAACATGCAGGTATGACATACCAGTCAAAAAAGGATCAAACAGCATGAGTCCAGGAATGATATGCATCTTTTTCCAACAAAAAAGTCATCAATACTGATATTTTTCCACAACTTTAGAATCATAGAATTATAGAAAATGAGGGTTGGAAGGGACCTCAGGAGGTCATCTAGTCCAACTCCCTGCTCAAAGCAGGACTATCCTCAACTAAATCATTCCACCCAGGGTTTTGTCAAGCCAGGCTTTAAAAATCACCAAGGATGGAGAATCCAATTCCTCTCTAAGTAGAAGAAAACTTTGGTTTGGATTAACTGGCATTTTCAATTACAGAAAAAAACCCAACAAAACATTACATTGTAATGCATTTAAAAGCTCAGTATTACCCTCTGATAACTGGCACTTTCAGGCATGTGGGAGAACAAACCAATTTTCCTAAAATACATCTCAACAGACATCACATATCAGAAGGCAAGCACCTGAAGTACCTTACAACTTTAACTTCCAGTTCTCTCTTAGCCAACACTATAAATTTATTTCTCCAGCTCACTAGAATAAGTTAATATTACTCATGTGAGACTGGTAAACAGTTGGGCTATTTGAATAATAGGGCAACTGTTATCGCCTCTGATCTCAGCATTTATTCTGACTAGAAATTAAAGTTGACATATAGAAGCCATTTCTGAAGTTGATCTGGTTGCTCCAATTTATAACAGGAATTCAAAGGCTGCAGTTAAAATATGTATCTGTAATTAAATTCCCTGTATTTCTATTGTGTTCTGCTTAAATGCAATACCGTATTAACTAACTGCAGCCGTTGGTTTTGTTCTTACTTTAAAAATGGCATAATTTTACATAAAATAACAAAGCCAAACTGTTAGATTTATTAAATAGAACTTTCTTATTTATTGCCTTAACGACAAGGAACAAATAAATGTATTACATTTGTTTTTGTCCAATGAAAATATGTTGTGTTTCCAATATAGCATGCAGCACACACATTCAGTTTACATTATGTTTGTACACAGGATTGTGGCACAATTTTTGAGATTGTGGACTCTACCATTTTAGGTGACTTGTTTGATACAGAATAGGAGTTGGGAACGGATAATGATTCAACAAACATTAACCTCTCAGAAGACTCTATTGGGGAGGTCTGGATTGAATGAGCTGGTAACAAATTTAACATTGTATGAGATGGGTGAAAATGTTATAAGATTTCTCATTAAACTGAAGAGTACTGGGAACAGAGGCAGAAAAGCTTTCTCTATTATTTCTAAATGGCTCTTCTCACTATTCTAGATAAATAAGATAATGTACAAGAAGCAAGGTTTAAGAAGAAAAGGTTTGCTTTAAAAGAAACCTCGCCTCTCATACATTTCCTGTACCATCATGGGTTCAAGACCATTCTAATCCTAAATCAGATTGCAACATTTTTTATAAAGACTTTTTCAGAAGAGACTACAATTACATATTCACTCAAGTTTAAATGGGCAGACACGGAAATGCTAGAGGTACTCTCTCTTTTGTGGCGACAATTAGGAATAAATACATAAGCCGCTGGCAAACACAAACTTGTCCTTTCACAAACTGTAATGAAACCAACCTGAGAGGCTGCCACTTCTTTCTGAGCTGTTGTGAGAGCTGGTAGTGCTGAAATCCTGTGACTGGTTGTGTGGCATTCTATTAGACAATCCCTCAGCCAATCGGTAGTCAGGGATGTAAAGTAAGGCTAAGGGTTAAAGGGCAAAGGTCATAGTGGCATCATGTGATTAGTTTATAGCATAAGCACATGCATAACGTGCAGTTAGCAAGTCAAAAGCAGATGTGGCTGGACTGTGAAAAATGTTTTGCCTAGCCTCTCCTAATGGAAATACAGATGGGCTGGTGACTACCAAAGACAAGAAGGACTAAAAACACAGAACCATTTATTTTGTGATGGTGTAAGACAAAGTATGCATGCAAGATGCATAGTATTAGTTAAGGTAAATGTGAAGAGTGAATCACAAACTATGGTTTTCTAATTCATGCACAAACAACAGAGGCCCAGGAAAATAAGAGCTGGAATCACCATTGTTGCCTTTGCTTTGGTCCGGCAGAGAGTAACCAAATCCCATGAGGTCATTCTTTTGCTGAATTGAACTTTTCCATTGGGGATCGGGTAAATCGACTGCCAACTCATGGATGCTATTGGAGTGCAGTATCTGGGTGGTGGCATATGGCGTAGCCTGTGTTATTTGGCTGGAACTGTTATAACTTGTTTTGGTGGTAAAGTCAATGCTGCTGTAAATGGCTCCATCAGAAAGCATAGTGGCAGTTTTATCTCCTTGGCCTGGCACTGGTGGCAGCACATCTGTGTGAACACAGGGGAATGAAACAAATCAGTGATGCACAGGAAGCCTGAAAGTATCAAGGTTTAAGATGAAAAATAAATGTGTCATTCTGCACGTTTGCATTTCAGCTGAGACAGGGTCCATGAGCCAATGAAGGGAAGATGATGTACAGCCATCGCCAAGCTATCAGCATCTGTGACAGGCCTACCCCTTGTCCTTCACGTCTCACTGCCTAAAACCATCTTTTTTTCCATACCTTCAACTGTGAAAGTGAAGTTTGGACTATTTCTCTACTGAAGAATGTTTTCAATTGTTCATTCTATGTCAGAACCAATGAAACTGTCTGGGCTTCAGGGTAATGATGAAAGGAATGAATCTACAAATCACAGAGGAAACTATCTCTCTGCAAATATGTAGCAAACTACTGAATGGATGCCAAGGCCCTCAAACTAATCCTTTTTGGGACACCAATTGCATTTTCCTTAAGTTTTGTACATGGGTTTATCTGACTTGGTTCTAAAATATAAAAAAGACATTTCTTCCTGACAATATAGGAAAACTGACATGAATAAGTCATTTCAGAATGTGATAAGATTTCAGCTACTCTGAAGAGATTTATGTGATCAATCAATTGAAATAATACAACCTTGGAAGTGCAGAATAACTCAGTTCAAAAAGCAAAGCATACTGAAATGTAACCATAGACACAATACAGTGCATTAAACAAATACCTGCCCCTTTTTCCATCTGTTCCACCTGTTACATATTACAGATTTATCATTTCAATCATCTAGATTTGAAGTGTCTCTCCTTCATAAAATTCATAGTAAGAGTTGTTGTTAGAAATTTAGATTTAAAAGTAAGGTCACTGAAATTTGACAAAGTGCCTTAAAGTGACTGCTACAAGGGTAAATGGAGCAATGCGGCTCATCTGATCATTGTGATACTCTCATACAGACAAACATTAATGGGGCTATATTTCTAGTACAGTTTAGATCAGAAAAGTGATACTCAAAAAACTTGCTAGCAGATACAACTTCTATTTTATAACATTATTGTCAGCTATTACACGTGAGCTCTATCAGGTCTAAATTACAATTATGATCAACACTCCTAAATTTAGAAAATTCAGCTCTGAAGTTTTGGTTTAACCTGTTGTACAATTCAGGGCTAGCATATACCTGAGAATCAATGTGGAAGGATGTCCTTAAGGTTAAGGTAATGACTTGGGTTCAGTTCTAGGTTCTGCCATAGACTCACTGAACAAGTCACTTAAGAAATTTGTGTCTCAGTTCCTCAGCAATGCAAATACAATGATTCATTCTTCTTTCTCCCACTTTTTTCTCTGTGTTTACTCTACTGATTGTGGGGAATATTTCTTACTATATGCCCTTAGCACATGGCCCTGACCTTGGTTGAAACTTCTTGGAATGCATTTATCATCATCAACAATAACTCTTCTGTTTTCAATTTAAAATATTCATACTCACAAATTCAGGAGTGTTCTGAAATAGAGACTGTTGCACTTGCTACTTTTGACTGGTGTTAGCTGTCTAGTAATATATCTGGTGGCTGGACTTATAATCACATATTTAAAATGGCTAAATTATCTTCACATTTGCATGAAGAATAACTACATAGAAAATGGGGGTATAGCTAATGAAAAGCAAAAAACTGAATCTGGAAAACAGAACACTGTCCTTCAAAATCAGGCCATTAATATTGACTTGTCTCTAATCTAATATACTCAACAGTAGCCAGTTTACAACTATAAAGATGTCTTTCCTAACTCCTAGCCATGGAAATAGAGCATAAGCTGTGAATCAAACTGGGTCATAACTTTCTTCTGTATCATCAATACTAAAGATTCTGTCTTGTCACATATGGTTTCATACAAGCATAATGGATTACAACTTAGTAAATATTATTTTTCCTGATGCACAAAAAATAAGAGGGTCCAGCTCAGTTTGCCCTGCAGGCTGACAGGAGTAAAAAGCACTAAAATATACTTGTCTCCATGACTCCATGTACCCAGAGCTGATTTCTGTTAAATGAGGTGCTGCCACATTATATAGCCATTTTACCACAAGCTTGATAATGTAAAGGTCATTGTGCACACACACCTTCCTGGCACTCAGAAGCTGTGAGTTTGTCTCACTAGTACTTATCTATCTTTCCCCCGAATATTAGGAATTTTCAATAGAACTGTATATAATTAATTTATTTTAATTTTATTAAAAAAAATCTATCTATCTATCTAATAAATGAACTACTACATAACTACCTATTGACAAAGTAATTATACATTAAAAATCAGTCTTGTCCCAGGAGTCACTCCACAACACCACAAAGCATGGGTCAAAACCTGAACTATAAGATGAATTTTCCCTCATGTGCTATGGTCAACAAGAGCAGCCTGCTTGTTTAAGGGGGAAGCCATATTTTACATTGAAGGTTTCTCCACTGGAGGCACACAACCAATCCTAATCTGCTTTACAGCCATTTCTGTGGTTGTATCCAAGTTATGGCAGGGTTTCTGAGCAGCCCTGCAGGGCTATAGCACAGTATGATCTCTCCCTGAATCCCCAATTCCAGTATGTCCTTCTCATCCAATTCCTCACCCTTGCACAACTGGTATGGCATACCTCATAGGGGTATTCTCAGAAGGCAGCCTTTCCTCAAGCCCTATTCAAGAGAAATACTCCCCTGGCCTCATATAAGATGTCTGTGCCTTTTTACCAAGTATAAAATGGTTCTAGTATTAAAACAAGGGACTGAGAGCAGAAGCATCCCAGCTCACTTGTGAAAATGGGGCACGGGAAAACTTATCTCCAAAACAGTCAGGGTACAAATGTAACCTAGATTGTTAAAGACTACGAATAGTATTTCATTGCTGAAGAAATGTTCTTCCTCTTCAATGAATCTGATTCTGCCTCAGCAACAGAAAGCTAAAAGCTTTAAAGCCTGCTTCCAAACCTGGAGCTTATAGAGCCAAATGCTATGAGAAATAAATTGTATTTATTTTGTACTATGTGAACTAATAAAAAAAAAGATGTGAAAATACTAAAGAATCATATTTTGGAAGTGTATATATAATACTACAGCTGTGCTCTAAATATTATCTAAAGACATGGTTTCTTCATCACATCATTTTGGTAAGACAAGCACATTAACATCTTTGAAGACAGTTTTGCCCAGATGACTCTGTCTAGGAACCAAATGAAAAGTGTTAATGTAATTTGAAACCAAGGTATAGTCATATCAGAACAAGGTTTAAACTGCAAGCAAAGTGTTATGAATGAAAATGAGGAGTGTTCCTCCAATTTTTACAGTTTAAAATTATATTTATTCCATTCAAAGGTAAGGTGTTCTTCCCTGTTCAACGTGGAGGGGGGACCTCCTCTTAGAATCATGTATCAAATGAAAAGACAGTAGCTGCAGTCAAAAGAGTGGCAGAAATCTACTGGGTGAGGCTAGGGCAGTGAAGGCCTGGTGTGGAAGCATGTGGTAGTGCAGGACCTGGTATAAAAGAAAGGCAACCAGTGAAGAGGCACCGGTATGGAGGCTTGAGATGGCACTGGACACAGGGCAGCATAGGACTCAGTGCAGAGGCATAGGGAAGCATAGAAATCAGCACAGCAGCTCCCAGAAGCATGGCATGCGGTGGTGGGCAGGCAGCAGTGGGGGCAAATGGCAGTGGGAAATGAGGTGGTGGGGGAGGAAGAGAGTAGCAGGGAGGGCAAGGTGTACGTGAGGTAAGAGGTGAGGGTCAGCCTGCCTTTCCCCCCACCACTTGCCTCCCCACTGCCTGTCCTCCCCCACCATTGTTTTCCCAGCTGTACTGACCCTCCAATAATTAGATTCTATGCATGGAAAATTAAAACAAATTTATAGCTTTCCTTGTATAAAAATAAATTATTGGGGGATTATC